ACATGGAGAGGATAAAACACACCCTTACAAACATCAGTCTATAATAAATTTAGAAAAAAATAATTAAAATAATATACAGCAAAAAAACGTCTAAATTTAGTATAATAAATAACATAAAAATAAATATTTGCATAGGTGTTTAATAAATTTATAAACTATTTTAAAATTTGTATCTACAGAGATAGCACCAGACCAGTGAAAGGTAGGCTTTTAAGTAATTGTGTTTTTAGGAACTGAAGATTGCCTCTTCTCATAGATCCAACGGAAAGCAGCCAACACTAGCATTATGAGCCAGAAAACAGCGGCTAGCCAAGATGCAGTCTGGAAATAAAGAAAAAAAAATATACATTTGAAATTTATTCTTTATTTGGTCCTTACATAAGTAAATGAAATGGTAACAATTGCATATCTAAAATATATGAATGCAAAAACATACAACAACATATGATAGTTAATGTGTTATTTATTGCTACTGTATAGTAATAAAATAATATATTAACCTTGTATATTTAAAAATTCATAAAAACTCATTAGCATTTTCATAATTGGGGCTATCTAAAACAAAAATTTCATAACAATAACAACATTACACAATTTACAAAATATAATTGTGGCAAAGACAAGCCAAACCAGTCACTCGTTGCAAAAATTGATTTGCAGTTAACAATACAGATTTAAACAATAAAACGAGAGCTATAAAATGGTAAAAGAATCATCTAAATCCGATATTTCATTATGAAGTTCAGGCATTTGTCAGGCAGAAACCACCACCAAATTGTTCGAGATTGTTGTTTAACCATTGAAAATAGGGAAAATAACAGCATAGCATGATATTCATGATATTATATATAGATCTATCCATAATAGTCCGGCAGCTTAGCAGATGGATGTGGACGTTCTGGACAAAAGCACCAATTTTTTTTTACATGCTCGTTATGGTCATAGCATTCAATTTTTGGTAGGAACCACCTCATCCATGGTCATTATGGCGGCCATCTTGGATTTCAAAATGGCCGCCTAATAAAACCTATGTTTATCTATATCTCCGCTTCTAAACCACTTGGAATTATAATTCTAATGTCTAATTCTATTTCTATATGGTCAAGGAATACAATCATACCATTTTTGACCTGGTCAGATTGCCACAAATAGGTCATTTAAGGTCATTCAAGGTCAAATATTGTATGGTATCTTAAAAATTACATAATTGTCATATTTTACATTAGAACCATACCCAGACTCTCAGAATTCAAAATCCTTACAATGAACTACAATATTTCATTCGAGGTCATTCTGGCGGCCATCTTGAATTTCAAAATTGCTGCCACGCAAATCCTATATTTATCAATACCATTTTAATGAGAATTAGGCCTATGATATCTAAAATTATATTTCATGGTCAAGGATTTATAACACTTGCGACATGGTCAGATCGTCATTAATGCCATAAAAGGTCATTTAAGGTCATTCAATGTATATACCATACCATTACCATTTTGTA